TTCTTTTGTTGTGAGTTAGAGTTTTGTTCTACATTTTTCTCCACCTCTGTCCGGGACCCTCTACTGTGATCCCTGTCAAGTATCTGCAATCTTTGTGGGACTGATTTCTCAGTTTGTTGTTTCTGCTGACTTATTTATTCATGGTGACTTGTTACCTTGTGTATTTTTGTGATACAAACATTTCTGCTATAGTGGTATTAAGTGCATTACTAAGAAAATGTTATGTTCTGCAAAAATGCTACTAAAAATGACAAACAGGGCTTTTGGGAAAGGCAGACTTAGGAACAGATCACTGAAAACCTATAGAACTTTGTAAACAGAGCACCAACAAAAGAACAACAATCTTAGTAAAACTAGTAGCACAGTTAAACCTCCACTAGCATATGTACTGAGCATCACAGTCAATCCTTGCCATTCCTCCTTGGGTATTTAGGTCTTTGAGAGCATTCACTTCTAACAGAGACTGCTTTCATCAAAACTAAAAATCTAATCCAGGGTGTAGCTTTTGTTTTAAACACAGGAGGAAATACCCTCCCAGTTTTTGCATTTGTACTCCCAGCTTCACCAGGTAACCCAGCATAATGGAGGCTGTAGCAGTTCTCGAAGCCACTAAACAAGCCACTACTTCCATTTCTCTAGGATTTTGGCTTTTTTCTTTAGATCTTCACGAAATTGCTAAGGTTTGCTTTTAATTGTGAGAAAGATTACCCTGGATTGCTTCCAAACATTAACATGCTGTGAAAGCTTGTATATAGACCAGCAAGACTTCTATGTTCTATGAATGTTATTCCCCTATTTTTCAGTCACATGAGAATGCGTAAATTACAGCAAAGAAACATGTTGAAATATAGAGCGGACTGTATATGATTATGAATGATTGGAATTTTACCTGTGGTGATTCTTTGAGGCCTAGGTTTAAAGTGGGCTGTCTAGGAAGCAGGCATTACCTAGGGCACTACAAAGCTAGGACTGCATCAGTCTAAATTTGTAGGCCACACCTACTTGCATGAGTTCTCACCTGAAGCATGCTTGAGGGTAAATTTGTGGCTTAAAATTTTTTCTTTGTTTTTTTGACTTTTTTCTTTGTTTTCCTCCCTCAGGTCAGATTCAAGGTAGATAGTTATCAGAAGGACAATTGCTGGATCTAGGACTTTTGATATGTGCTGCCAAATTGAATTGCTATCCTAAACTATTTGAGTAGTTCTAAAAGATGTAGTGTTTTTTCTTATGCTGAGAGCACCATTTTATTATCTTTATGAAAGTACTACTTACCTCTTCCTGAAAGATATGATAAATTACCCAATTTTGGCATCATAAACACTGAAGGTGACAGAGCAGTGTCTAAACACTGAAATTCTTAAGTTATTTTGCTTTTGAGTGTGACTTGGAAACACTATAATTTCCCAAAACAAACAGTAGTTTGACTGTTATATTAGTTTTTCACTTTATTGCCTGTGAAGCCTTATTTATGTCAAACTAGAAAGATGCTATTGAATATTTGTAATGGTTAAGAGCTCAGCTGCTAACCAAAAGGTTGGCAGTTAAATCCGCCAGCCACTCCTCCTTGGAAACCCTATGGTGCAGTTATACTCTGTCCTATAGGGTCGTTATGCGTTGGAATGGACTTGATGGCAACGGATTTTTTGAATCTAATATAAATGCCCTTTCCCCAGTTTCTAAAAATGATTAAACTATCTACTTGTATTTGAAATAACTCATCTTCCTTTTTCTAGCCATCAGCCACACAATACTTGGAATGATCCCAGTATTATGATTTGCAGTTACAAAGATGTTATAACTGCCCCCACTATAAGTAGCATGGACTTTCTAAATTCCCTTTTGTGCTCGATGATACAGTTGATTTGAACTATAAACATGCATTCATTTTCTAAACTAAGATCTAGGTATGAACCTGATTTTTCTTTTCTTTTTGAAAAGTTAAATGTCCTACATATGTATTGAA